TGAATGCAAGGGTGACACATACCACAGATAGGAAGCAAAGTGATCAGTAAGGAAGACAATCGCCTACATATATAACTATCATTATGTTTTACACCCCATCGACACAATTTCCATCATTTAAGAAGTGGGTTAGTTTGAACTTGTCTGTCAGGGCCAACCCAAGCTGTGAGAGATATAACATCCAAGCAGACAGACGGACAAACTTGATAAAAACGCAGCCCAAACGGGAATCAAAATCATGTTTTCCATATGCCAGGGTGAAGTGCCTAACCACTACACCACAGACGCCAGTGACAAATGCCTATTGTCGGATAAGGCAAAATGATAGCCCCACCAATGCTGAGTGGGATGCAAGCAGCAGCCGAGCAGGCAGATGGAGATACGCAACAAAATAACTTCCCCACTTAAGAATTAAAATTAAACTCTTGTCTTTTACATCGGATGGTCAAGAGCAAAAACGCAGCATCACAAGCACTGGAAGGGTACATCTCTAGTCCCATTCCCCTTGCAATGACAGCAATGATGAAAACACAAAGTTCTGCTGCAAATGGAAAATGACTTGGTATCTCAAAAGCAGTGAATACATTTGAAGAAGCCATCATCAATAATTTATTTATAGATGCACCAGCCATCCATGTCCTGGTGCTGTTTTTGAAGAAGCCAAGAAAAAAAGGATGCAAGTCACATTTTGCTTGAAATAGGTGTTCTTTGTTTGATGACACTCCCGAAAGGAGACTTCACAATAGAAAATTTGAATATAAACCTCTTTGCATTTAAAAGAAATGACTAAATGGCTTTAAATCAAAGTTACAGCCTTTTATAATCTACCAAAACTCTATAATACATCAAGCTAAGTACCAGCTGCCGTTTTCTGCATTCTTCTCAAAACAACCTCAATTTGACTTACACCCTTTGTTTCTCTGATCCCTTCACTTATTCAAATAATCAGGTCTACAGGATCGGGCATGGTTAGGCAGTCTGCCTGGCTAGTGCACTCTTGAAATCAAAGATTATCAGCCTACATGCACTTACTAACACAGTATGTACCCCTGAGCAACTGGTCTACAATAATTATGTTCCGATAAAGAATCTGTGTCACACATATAATAATTCACGCATCAGGGGAATTCTACTGGACATCAATGATTATTTTTTCTTAAATGTAGACTAGACCCGTAAAAACAAACATGTTTGATATAGCCAGATAAGTCCAGTGAAATTCAGCCAGTTTTTCAATTCCCTATTCTGTGCATATCCTGCTGATAGATTCTACTACATTTCAAACTATAAAATATGATTATAAAATATGCAGACAGGCAGTTGAGAGATCAAAATGTAATCAAATTCGGGCTCATATTGCGCAAGAAGAAACATGATAAAAAGGAAAAAAAAATGGTTCAAGTTTCATTAACATGTAAAAATGCAGCTGATAGTTTCTGTTTTGAACAAAATAATAGGCACAAATTTCAATTGTATGGACTCACCGACTCAAAACATTATGTTCTTTATTCTTGAATGAAAAGATTGGAAAAGGGGGGCGTGTGTCTCTTGAACCACATTCAAGCAGAAAGAGTGTACAAAATGCTGCCACTCAAACTTTGCAGTAAGCTGTATGACATGTTTCACACTAGTGTTAACATCGATCATCAAGGAGCAGGCTGCTTCCACTGAACCTATTTTTAAAATTTTTAGTCAGAGCTTTACTGCACTAGAAACACAAACAGGTTACATAGGAGCTTAACATTTGCGGAGTTATTAGAAGAGTAAAATATAAAAAATAAGAAGGAGAAGAGAAAAGGATGATAGATATTTGATTGGAAAGGAAAAAACCACACCAGACTACCCATTAACCACACATAATTGCACCTGTCGGGACAACTAGGGCTCCGAATCAGATACATCTCGGAAAAGAAAATTAACAGGACATGCCTAATAAAAAATGTTTCCCTAAACGAAAACTGAACTTGCGCCCTTTGCGTTCTAGGTAAAAAGCCTAATCATTTCATCACAGACTCCAGAGCCACATAAACCAAGCTGCTTCGAGGAACATAAAGAGACTAGGAGATGCGAACAGGGAATGTAACCAAGGCATCACCGCTAAACTCCGGCTTTGGGGAGACCCTGTGAGGATTCACACAATCACAGAAAGAGGCATCATCCCTTTGACATAGCGAAAGCAAACACACTGTTTTACTGTTCATGTCTTACAAACCCATCGACGTAATTTAAATTGCTATAAAGGCAGGCTTCTTCAAAACCACCAGCCATCTGACAACCTCAAGAGCAGAGTGAGATAAAGCATCCCAGAGATATTTTAAAAAACAAAAAAACCCCCCCCCCACTAAACAAACAAAAAAACCTCCCCACTAAAAAAACAAAAAAACCTCCCCACTAAAAAAACACCCAAAAAATCTGCAAAAAAGAAAAACAAACATATCCCGAAACAACAGCAGTCTTATATCCAGTGGGTGGTTAGTGGTTGTTCTTGTATGGTTTGTTCCTTATTTCCAATCAAACATCAATCGTGGGTGGTTGGCGGGTGCTCAGGTGTGGTTTGCTTCTTCTTTCCTATCAAACATCTATTGTCCTTATCCCCCCTTCTTCTTTTTTATGTTTGTTACTCTCTTGTAACACCTCTAATCTTCTGGCGCTCACATTAACATGACCTTATGCAGTTGCGAGCGCCGTAAAACCTCTACTAAAACAAAAACTAAAGAAGCTCGTGCTTAAACTATAATTCAAATCAACAATCTCATACATGTACCCCCTTTTAGTCCTTCTCTTTTTTTTTTTCTTATCTTCCCCCTTCTCCATCGCCTCGTCTTTATGTTCCACACTCCCCTTCTCCTCCACTGCCCCTGCTTCTCCCCCTCCTCCTCTTCCTCCTCCTCCTCCTCCTTCTTGCCGCCGTCCCCCTCCTTTCCTCCTGTTCTACCCCCTCCCCCTCCCCCTTCTCCTGTCCTCCACCACATGTAAACGTAGTATTTTATGGAAATATATGAAAATCCTGTATTTTTCTTTTATCAACTTGAACTATGGAATAGACTTACATTTTGGCGCATATTAAAATATTTTTTAAAGAAGAAAGTTTGAAGCTGTAACTGTATATTTTGTAATTTCAGACAACGCCTTTGTGTGTGTGTGTGTCTGCCGGAGCAGTGGGTGAGGCCATTGTAGTGTGACCCACTTTGGATGCACGGTCATTCTCCCCCCGTAAGCTGGACAACAGCAACTACAGCAGTGTCGTCGAACGCACACGAACAAAGACGCTCAATTTTAACGGCGCAGAACCGTTACGTGATGTGGGCTTGTTAAATCTGACCAGGCATTGATGAAGTGGTCAGTCCCTGGATTGTCCACTGGATGAACAAAGACCTCGGAGAGGAGTGACCCGCGGGCTTTGTCGCTCGGTCCAGACCTGTCACTCAAGCCTTCTGCCACCGGATGGTACCGTCAAATTTTCAAAATAAATAGCTTGTTGTTGATAGGGGCC